ATTGATTCATTCTTGGACTCTTGCAATCCTCGAACATGGCACATCATGTCTTGCGGAATCATACGTGTCCTCCAGCTCTGCACGCTCGATCGGCCGATCTCGTCGACGATAAATCTTCGCTCCGGACGCACCAGCTGAGTGAGCTCACACATCGCAGCGACTTTTTCCGGAGGATTCTCGTCGCCTGGATTTTTCTTGATTGAAAACTCGCTCTCATCGAGTAGGAGGAGGAATGTGCGAGGGCACTTGCCTTTTTGGCAATTCTGTACAGTCAGAGCCTGCGAGAAATAGCTCATTTGAGTGTTCCAACAATCCTATCGGGATTTTCGCATGTGCACGCGATTTCGACCATTTAATTGCTGCAGAAGTCTGAGTGTGCTCGTCAAGTCAATTCTGAGCGATTACTTGCGAAAGGAACATGCTATATATCCACAGGAGGTGGTTTCTGGTCGTAATAGTATTTGGCAAGAGCTGGAAAGGCATCGCAGCCAGAAGCTCCATTTTTTCATATTTAGCATACCCTGAAACTCCTACTCTCCTATTTTGGGATCCATGGCTTTGGAGTTGGTAGACTGATTCAGCTCGAGAACGAAATAGACACTCCCATTCTGATAAGTCAACTACTGTCCAATAATATGATGAAGAAGTCCGGACAAGGAAGCCATCTTTTATAAATTCGACGATTGTCCACCGTGCTCGCCTCGCGAAAGGCAAAGTTGGGAAATTGGATGAGTCTGCGCGATGTGATTGTTCAGGCTGTTGATTGACTGCGAACCATCGCACGAAGAAGATGAAGCAAGAAAGCACCGAAAGCACTCGAAGAAGCCCCAACTATCTTACTCATGACTGTTCTCGTGTCTAGAGTTCAGGTCAACGAATGTCAATCGAAGATGGCAACACGAGAGAAACCCCATCAAGGTATGCAGAGGATGCCATGTTGACATTCAATCATTATTTTTCTATGTTGTATTTTAAGACTGGAATTTCTAAAATACTAACTACAATACACTCTCAATAAGTGATAAAAAGTTAAAGATGTTTGGTTTTGGTGTCTTAGATTTTTAAGCTTATTAAGCAATGAAATGTTAAATGAGGAACAATTGAAAAATTAAAACATTTTTAAAAGTTTATATGACTATAAATATGAATGACTTTTCTAAATTTGAAATAGTTTAATCATAAACGGAAACTTTGTTCACATCGTCTTCAATGCTAGAAAAAAAACTTGGATGCATGATATTCTACAGTACATAATCAGAAAATTTGAATTCTTCGGATACGAATTGAAGGTCTTAAATTTAAATCATTTAAGATTTTGATATTAAAATTCTGATTATATAAGTCTTAATTATTCATAAAACATAAATATCAAGAATTTATCGAAATATAATGATTTTTTTTCAAAAATAATTTTCAAGTAATTGCTATATATTGTATATAAAAGTCATTTTTCTTAAAAAAATTTCTTAGCAAAGAAAAAAAATTTAAAAAATTCGTTCATAATTTGAGTTTTGTTAATTTTACATTCACAAATAACATATTAATAGTATCATAAAATTCACACTGCAACAAAAATTAGCTTATTAATTTTTTAAAAATTGGATAGTAATGTTAATTTTCCCCAATATATTTTTTGATCAAATGATAAATTATATTGAAAGATATTTTTTTACATTATTTTTATATATATTTTATAAAAAAATTACTAATATTTTTTCTCTAAATAATTTTTATTATATATTGGATCAAAGTTTATTATAATTTAGATGAATATATCTATAAATGTAGATCTAAATTACATTTATTCTTCATGGATTTATATATACATATCATGACATTCATATGTTAGCACATCTTAAATGGCATATCAAAGCATACATGAACATAGTTCGTGTATTTTTTGATATGTTTACGTATATGATAATTGTACGTCGTGATCTTTGTGTCTAATTTGCATGATATATCGTATACTGTGTTGATTGTTCGTTAAGTTTAATAAAAAAAATCAGATCAAAACTCATATTTGTTTGGAACAGTAACAATGATAGCATTTCAGGTTGATGATTCATAATGTACATCCAAAATATTGAAATATTTTGACAAATCCAATTCAAACAAGATGTACGATTAGTTGTTAGGAATTTTTTTATTTGAGATTTAGAAAATTCTGCAAAATGATTGAAAAAAAAATTTGATCAATATCAATAATTTTTAAAAAAATCATTACTTCAGAGATTTCTCATCCAATAAATTCTATTACAGATCTTGAGAGAATTAGAAGCTTTTTCACAGATGCTCAAAAATTTATAGCAAAAGCTTTTTCTTGTATCAAAAATCATAATGAGAGTAAGCGAAATAAAAGTGATAGAAAAAATATAAAATTGAAAATTAAAATTTTGTTCGAGATTTTTCACTGCATATCTATGAGTTTATGAAATTTTCATTAAATAAAGCTCAAATTGATGTCATAATTTTGTAGATTAAGATTTTTTTTGCAAATAAATTTAAAATCATGTGAAATTATTCTTTGTTATAAAAATCCAGAAAAAATAAGTTTAAAAAATTTGATTTTGGCAAAAAAATTTAATCATTTTATTTTTTAATTTATATGATATTTCATTTTATTTATAAAATATGTGGTCATTGAGATCAAATTATTGAACAAATTTGTTAGCAGAATAAAACTTTCAAGATCTTGAATACTTGATAAATTTGATAAGAATTTTTAATTAATTATTTTAGTTAACTACAGGATTCCAACTTTTAATCCTTTTGGCAACACATTGTATCGAAAGAAATATTTGAAATATTGATTAAATACATACTTAAAGATGAAATACAAATGATTGAAGTAAATTTGGCTTCATTAAAAAAAAAATTAACATGAAAACATGCAATGCAAGCCGATTAAAATTGTGAGGAAATCATATACAGCTATTTTTATATCTATTATTTAGAAAAAAATTAAGGCGTTAAATTATTATAATGATTTGATATTTGATCACAAAAAAGATGTAAAATTTATCAAACAAGTTACACATCTTTTGAAGCTCATGAAATTGAAAATTTTTTATTTTGATATAAAAATATTATATCAGATTAGTAATAATTTTATTCAACTATTAATAGCTTACATCTGTGCTGAAAATAATAGTGATAAGAACGTTATTATTATTGCCAATTATATGTTTGATTTTTATCAATCATTATCATAACTATTATTACCAAGTGATGATCATAATTATGATAAGATTCAAGATGGAGATTATGCTTAATACGATGATTAATCATAAACTTCATCTTACAAAATACTTTAAGTATTTATATTGAATACAATCTCAATCACAAGATGTAAAGAGTAAACTTAGAAAAAATAAGAAATTTGTAAAAACAAATCATGAAAATAAGAAAATGATTAGTTGAATTTGTAACTAAACTTAAAAAAATGTGTGCATGGAGTTCAAATGTGCAATGTGCATAGTTTTGATAATGAGCATTAAGAAATATATCCAAGGGATTTTATGATATTTGAATATACTCTATTTATAAAGTAGTTATACTGTGATTTAGTTTCAATTTATTTATTGTTTGTATGAGTTTGAATGCTTCCGTTTTCTTTTTCCGTAAGTCTTTGCAGAGTAAAGGTCTGAGCACCATGAGTTGAGCTCCTAAGACATGAATCAAGAGTAAAATAAGTCAGACTTAAACTATCATTGAAGTGATTTAATTAGTTTGACTTTGATGAATAACAATATGAGGGCAGTATATTGAAAGAATTCTCGAGGAAGTAATCTTTGTGACACAGTGAAGATAATTCTATGTAGCTAATTGTGTGTTCTTGTGACCAAATCTCAAAGAAGTCATTCATGCATTTCAATGTGTAGACTCTCTAAGGCATGATTTTTCTTCAGATATCTTGTGTAGTATCAGTAATTTAGAGGAAAGAATTAAAAGATGGCAATACAAAAAACAAGGGGTTCACACAATATGAATAAGCCGTAAAGTTCTTGTGAATATGAGATAATTTGCTTTCATCCACTTTGACTTTCCAAAATTTCATTTATACAAGTTGTTGATAATTGAATGCTTTTTAGAACAAAATCTCGAAGAATGAAAGTCATTTATACAGTAAAGTGGGAATGATGATCGTGCAAGTTTCATTATGGTAATTTGATTTTGTACATTATTGTCCTTAAGTTTGTCTATCAAATATGTGAAGACACAACACTAAGTCCGTTCCGTATATGTTCTGTAAAATTCGTTATGTTCTGTTAGCAAACCCTTTACCATCACCTCTTTGAGTTGGAACTTCTATTGTAAGTACTTCTATTCCACCAAGTAAGATGTGAAACCTATCCTTCTAACTATACAAAGGATTGGTCTTCGCTGGAAATGGTGTGTGTAGTATGATGTTCGATTGAAATTGGTTAGTGTTAACTGATGAGACCTAAGCAGTAAGGCAACGTTTGGGACAATCATTCTTACATTCGGGATTCGTTTGTGATCTGCCAGTGATACCTGCTGCCGCATAATTAAAAGATGATTTAGTTACCACTTACAGAAAAAACTTAGATGATCGTGCAAATGTAAGTGGTAACTAAATCATCTTATGTTTTATTCTGTAAACATATGTCTAGCAAAGGTGGAATGGCTATACGTATGTGGGGCAGCTAACAAGCAGCGCCTTGCACCATGTATAAACCCTACGTCCGAACACTAATACTAAAACGTAACATTACTGTGAAACCCAAAACTCTGATTGCTTAGGGATATTAGGAATTGTGTCGTCCAGTGTTTCATACATCAAGATTTGTAAAAGGGCGGCGTCGTTTCAGAAGTAAGATCTAAATTCCAGCAAGTGTATAAAGGCTATACTAGTTGAATTCGTTGGAAAACTACGACTTGCGATGCGAGTGCACGCCACATGAATGTGTGTACACTACGGAATGTCTTCCACATAACTTGAGGAATGTCACATACCCAAATCACTTGCTATGGAGGCAGAAACAATTTTTTAATCAAGACCATAAATGGTTGTTTTACAACATGTTGGTCATGAATCTCTGCGATCTAGCTGGACCACTCTCAGACAAAGTTCTCGAGATTTTAATCTACAGTACAAATCAGTTCCTGCAAAAATGCGACCTGCTTCATCTTTAGCAAGATAAATGCTCATTGGTCTTGTAGAGTGAGAGGCATCCACTTCGAGTGATGAGGCTGCTTGTGGCACTCAAAACAGCTCACCACATTCATCGTATTCACCTTACTACACGAGATATCTTGCAAAGAAGCCTAACACCTCTAAATCGAATAATGTTCCTATGACAAGAGCCTCTTCCTGGACTTAATGGCTTGTATCGTCAGTAAGTGCGATATGGATCGAATTTACGGACACCCTCTCGTTTGTAGTAAGGTGTCTTTTCAATAGTTCTTTTCACGTAATCTGTATATGGCTGTGGTGGAGGTGTGCGACTGAATCCTCTGGTAGGAGGCGGGGTTTGCTCGCCGAAACTAGTACTGTACAGAGGACCGTCCGATACAGAGGACTCAGCTCCTTCCGTAGGTGGTGCCTGCTCTGCGGTCGGTTGAGGTAGATCGAGCAAACGGGCGCATAAAATGAGCGGAAGTACTATTAAAATAACCACGAGAACGACGGCATATAATATGGGCTTTACGAGTAGAGAACGAGTAAGAAGCTCTGCACTGTAGATGACGAATCTCTCCTCCTCCTGACCTGTACCGATCGAAAGACAGAACAACATCGTTAATTCATTCCCCTGCGTTCATGATGACAGGAGTGTGTTGATAGATATCTATCACCTTCAAATGCCTCCGATCGTTTCACAAGGAAGGACAAAATGACTTAGAGTACTTAAATATAAGTATCCCATTATGTAATCCTGGAGACATTCATATTACTCAGCTGTTACATTTTTCAGAACTTCGAAGAAAGGCCTCTGGGTGCCTCCTGCGACTATCAGATGGGAACCTCCACATGCTTGCCGAGGGAGCGTCCCAGTAGTAGTAAGACCACATGTTTGACAAGCACTAATGCACAGGTAAGGCAAATCTTCTTATGACAGTCTTCTTAGGAATTAAAATGGTGAGGAGTAAATTACAAGCATAGCTAGTGAGAGACACCGTGCACTCAGAAGAGTGCAAGCGGGTGCACTCCCAAAACTCTTACAGGTATACGTAATCAGGAGGACAGACTGCAAATGTGATAGGTACGTTCATTGCAGTTTGGAAAAAAGAAATCCTCGAGCAGGTCCAAAAATCAATCAGTCGCACACGTTTCAGGGTTATGATACACATCCGAAGATAAGGGACTACCTGAAGGGAGTAGAGAAAACACCAAGCGGTCTGTGAAAGGATGATCCTCAGAAATCAGCTTGACCTGAGAAACAACAGAATAAGAAAATATATAAGCAGGCTGTAATTTTGTTCCGTGCACAAAGACTGAGCGAACCACGTGAAACAAAGAGGACATTAAAGACTCCAAAGGGTTGTCAATTTGTCAGAAGTTTGGCATCAACATTTAGCACCTCAAAGTTCGCTCGTGCAGCAATTCCAAAATTTGGACTGGTGTCGGACAATTTCTCCACAACCATCACGTCATTTCTTCCCCAAGACACCTTCACCTTCCCTGTTCAAGAACATCGCCTTGGCATGAGCTTCTAGGTATGTGAATTTTAAACTAGGTCTTACGACTAAGAAAACAGAATAAAAAATCTATGGTGAGAACTGTGCTGTTGCCTACATGGGCATAGAAGTCTTTGAGTGACCTTCTGGACGCCCGTGTAAACACTTCTAATCATCAGAAGAAGGATAACTTGAAAATAAGCATTTTCTTCCCGGCGTTCCAGTCTCAAACAAGCGAGTTCCTATATAAGAGATATAACCAAAAAACCTGATCCGAGACTTCTTTCCTTTGAGTCTCCTTCAGATTGAGATGTGTCTAATGAGTAGTGTGGGAGATCATTGACTCACTTAATAATACCACATTGAAAATAGTCAGCAGACAAACCTTTACCCTAATAAGTGGAAAAACTAAGAGCGCATGTAAAACAACAAATCGAAATTACTTCAAATAGATAAACGAGATTGCTGACGAACCTGTGTTGCCAACAATGGTGATCAAGCTTCTATTTGTAGTCGGCGACAAATGGAGCTGTCAATACGACGTCAGTTGATTATTAGTCAGTCCACAGATCAAGCATATACATATAAGTACAGTCTAGCTAGATAACTCTCCAAATCTCTTGGACAACATTCGGCAGAATATGACATAGAACGCATACATCGCGAAATGATGCAGATCAAGACTTTAGTCATGTCTGGCTTTAACACCTTGTGATTATCGTTGGAAAGGGCAAGATATCGCAATTCATTGTTTTGGAGATTCCAATACCTCTTGAGGTGTGTTTATAATTTCAAAACCTCCTGTCATAGAAGTCTCAATACTTCCCTCTACGGATGGGTTCCCAGGGACAACTGCCGTGATAGTCATTTGTATTGTGCCATCAGATGCGCGCCCAGAGGACACTATCTTCTGGTTCTCCTCTGAACGATGGACGTTGTACCACAACTGTTGCGGTGTATATGCAAAGAAAACGCAGTAAAAGCTGTTGAAACCAGGCTCCCGCCATGGAACAACAAGTCTGTGTAGAAGCCAAAACAAACAAAAATTCAGCTGCGCATTTTGCAAGCATACTTTAACACAAACTAAGATGGCCTCTGCGGTCTGACCATCGACGATGAAACGACAACCGCACCAACCAGACAGAAGTAGGACCACGAAGTGAATCATAGGAAAGAGAAAGCAGTGAAATGGATGTCCGGAAATTCTTTTCCCAAATGCCTCAATGCCTACTTCAAAAACTGTGTGATTATTGGTCTGTTGTTACACAATTCAAAATTGACAAAAATCGTACCCCAAAAATGCTGGCTTCAACTGGCATTCGTAAGATACCTCCCGGCTCTCTCCTACGACTCCAGCATCTAGTCCCTGGGTATCGCTGTGTAATAGAGAAAGTAGAAAGGTTAGGTTAAGAATTCTGAAACAGGAAAGAATCGAATTTGGCCACCTCGTCCAACCAGTAGTGAGGTAATTAAAGTATGTGAGAAGAAACTTTTAATTCAAAAACGTTCACAAATTTGAAAAGTTAAGCAATATGTACCTGAATTGAACGGGAAATCGATATCCCTCTTCATGAAACGGCATATTCGTGACTTGTACAACGTTTTTGGGAGCCTCAAGTGTAACAGAAGAAATGCGGATGACGTTGACACTGGTATACGTTGTTAGACGGGAACCTGTAAAGCTCACTGAACATTATCCAAGGTCAAAATGCAAGCATTAGTGTACCACCAACACAGACCACATATTTGCTCAAGGAGTTGGTCGATCTGCATAAAATGGCGACACTTCGTCATCAGATCATAAGGTAGACAATTTATCCCAGCATATTCTAAGATGAGATGTAAATCTCAGAGTCAGTTTATTCCCGTCTTTAGCGGTAGATCAGTAAAGGTAGATAGTAAAAGTACATACTAGATTTTACCACAGGTAACGAACTACTGATTAACTTTGGGGATTTAGTACGGTTAAGCAGACATCAGCCACCTATTACTAGAAGGTGGCTGATGGCTACTAAACCATACTTAAGCCCTAAACCATTTAGTAATAAATTTCGATATATGACCAGTTTGATTCATGATGCTCTACATATTGCTCTTCTGACTGTCAAAGTCACATGTAATAGTGATCATTTTTTCAGGTACTGATAATACCTTTTGAGTGCTGTATTACTTAAAGTGGGGTTGCAGTTAGCACTCTAGCTATCTACAGAGTTCTAACCTTGATTTTGCTGGATGGAGGGTGAGGAGGAGGAGGGGTAGTAATAGCAAGCTATGGTCATCAAGCCATCAGAGTCAACAGGAGCATCAGGCACTGCTGGTGATACAACTGGAAGACATCATCATCAACTGCTGCTATAAAGTGAAGAATAGCAAAAATCTATAGTTGTAACTTACCAATAGCATTCCCCTCTCCGACAGCCTTAGCACATCCTGTAGTTCGATCGATTTCTAAGACATTGGGATTATCACTAGCCCAGTGCCCTCTCTCACCTCTTGGCTGTCCAGCAACATGTACGCCTTCAATCGAAACCACAAATGTGCAAATCAAAACGATGAGAAAATGGTTGTTTTGGTTTGCATGTTTCAACTGATTCTATTCACAAGTCTATTAGAATCTTTCGGTTCCCATACTCGACAGTTCTATTCAAACATGGTAATATTTACGAAATGACAAGTGTGTCGAGGAATCGATCACATATTGTGAACGCTATGACTGATAAAATATGGAAGAGAAAACTGATCAAAAAACACGATTACCTTTGCATATGATGGTGAAGTTGACCCGACCGCCGACATGGACAGATGGGTTTCTTGGACTCACGAAAGCACCAACTTTAATCTGCAAGATTCTTGGAGCCATCTATCATTCTGACTTGCGCTCACGATAATCATCATTTTTTGACCAACAAAAGCATATGAGCGAACTTACGTACTGCAGACTTTAATAAACTTAGACCTGACGATGATCAGGCTAAGATCAAATGTTGCCTTAAACCGATACCCTTGCTGAAATCACTCATGAAGGCATTCATAAAATGTGGGAAGTAAAACAGAGTCTTCACTTACAAGTATAAAGTCGGTTATATGCGCTAGGCCCTTGTAGGAAACCCGCACCAGAGCCGTGCCTTGTCGCAAGGCCTGTGTTGACGAAAAAATATCACAATTTAATTAACTTATTTAATTGCATAACTTCCTTCCTCTCAGCATCTATTTAGAATGCACGTACCCTGTCAGGCTTCACTTGAAATGTCAGTCATGGACCATGGAATACATATTCAAATTCTAAGTAAATAAACTCTTCATTTCGAAGAGTATTACAACAAGAGGAGAAAAAACAAATGTGATGTGGTACCTGAACTGTAATCGTGAGGCTGCATGAAGTTTCATGCTGCTCACAATCCGTCACTTTCGCGGTCACTATATCGGCTCGATTTGTTTCAAGTACTAGGAGACTACTACCCCTTCCAGATTCAAAGAATGGGGTACCTGAAAAGCAGCGGGCCTCCTCATTAAAAACCACCTCTACCAGCCCTTTAAAGCCACCTCAAGAGAAGTACATGCCAACGGCAACAAGGATGTGAAGAAAAGGTGCGAAAAGATTCCCAAAAAAAAAATTAAACGCACCAAACTCATCAGCAAGTGTCACAGTGTATTGTTGGCTGGAGCCGACTGAAAGCTCAGCAACATGATAAGGAAATATATTCCCACCAACCGTCAATTGAGCAACCTGCGCAAATGATCAGTTAATACCCGGCAAGTTCGACTCCTCCCAGACAACACAACAAGGTCTAGGCTGATGACTTAACTGAGCACCGGTAGTAAAACTTCAAATTTGTAATCTAGATATATCACCGAAATCAAAGTTTTCTCATCTGTTTTGAACGAGTCCGTGGTTGGAGCAAGTGTACATCGTATTTGAGGTGCAAAAAATGTCAACATGCCGTACACATTGTACACAACGTCAAATTACTACTTACCTCGGCAACACGTACGCAAGCAGCAACTTCTGTGCGAGCCGTATTACGATCCCGAGCATGTATACAAGCAACCTCCAATCTTTCAGAGGTGCGAATTCTCCCGTCTTCTGAGATACTTATCACACCCAGGTCACTACTTCCCTCCTGTCCAATTCCCACAAGCAATGAATACTTTTCTTCATTTCCGACACGTGGAAGTCCATGGAATCTAGGTCGTTTATGTTGTTGATAGTTAGAAATTTTGTAAGCAGAACTCCTGACCTGGTCAATACCACATCGACCAAATGTTGTCCTTCATTGCACCAAAACAAGACATGATAACAAACCTTGATACTCACATGCATTACTGTGTACTGCACACTTTGGACAAAGTTTCCATTATCTATTCGAGCGGGAAACTGCCCAGTCCACTGGGGAAGCAAACTTGAAGATGTATACTGGGGGCGGAGGAGCCATGTCGCAGGTATGCCAAGTGCAAGTGGAGGATCTGGCACCACCCAGATTGTTTCAGAGGCGCTGTAATCACGAGTTTCAACTATGCCATTCTGATTCCCAAAACTGCAAGAAAAGGCGACTGTAACCTTGGCCCTGCCAGCAGACCTGTAGTTAAACACAATCAGAACACAGTAAGATCAGAAAAGTAGAATCTTAGAGAAGTTGCCTATTCAATTAGAGTCTACTCGGATTTGGCTCCTCGTTCCTAAACTCAGAGCCTAAGATATGTTGAGCTTTGAATACAAGGTCAAGGTATTGCATGTTTGGTTCCGAACAAGAACCCAGAACAACGAAGCGTATGATGAGCACTTTCCATAGACCATATTGGCACAGAAGGAAGAGAATTGACATTTACAAGAATGCAATCTATATGTAATGAACTGAGACCAGAAAGAAAGGGAGCACGATAGCAAGACCATGTCAAACCAGACCAAACATCTACAAGATGACATTGATGTATTTCCAATGTCATCAAACAACTTCTCCAAGCACGTGGCAATGAAGCTCACAATTAGGAAAAATTACTGAAGCGAAAAGTCCGTACCTGCCTACAATTCTAGCAGAAAACCCTTCTTCAGTTCCCAGCATTCCTTCTTGACCATAAACATGTCCTGATAAAGCTCGCTTTCTATCCAGAGCATCATTTGACTCATTAGCATAGGCCCCATCCCCAAGACTGCTGCTACGAGTTTCGCCATGTTTCAGAGCTAACACCTGGCATCAAAAGAAGCAGTTTTCCACAATAAATGTTTCACGAAATTTAAGAAAGTAATCTAAATAGACCCCGTGAGCCATCTCAGAAGAGAGAAATGAAAAGGAATTCTCAGTCTTCTGAGAAAGGTCTAAAATTATGAATCCTTCCTTGAACTATGAAACTAAGAAAGAAATAGGACAAGATAGATTAAAAGGAAGAAAGAACTTGGCTAATTATGAGACACAATTTGAGCTTCCATAATGCAAACCAAGATAAAGGATTTAGAACAGTTATAGGCCAAAAAATGTGGCTTACAGGTTCATACGATAGGAACAAAGTGAGGTAAGTAGACAGTGTTTGAGTCCAGAACCTCAGATATCCAAACGAATTAGATCCCATACCTGTTCGTCTGTGATGGACCACTTGTAATCACTGCAAAGCTCATAAAAGGACAATAGGTCTTCCTGCAAGACGAAACATGTTTTGGTGACAACGTTCCGATCTAACTCGGGTAATTGTGGATCAAAGAAGTTTGAACAAACCAGAGCAAGTAAATCTAACTGAATATATTAGTAACGACATGATTACCTCGGCTTCAGTTGGAAAAATGGACATCTCTCTGTTGACACCCAGCTGTCCTCCTTTCACATTTAGAGTTGGAGTAAAGAGGAGTTGAACGCGGACTTCAACGGAATCCTCGGTTATGACAAGACCTCCCTGTCCCCGAGCTTGCGCAAGGATTGTCTACAACATAACAACACCTTAAAAGTTTTATCATCTCTCTTGGAGTTTACACCCATATTCAAAATGGTTCCAACAACACCAATCTGCAACAACGCTCGTTGGCAGCTCACTTTGTTGCTAAAGACGGCCAAGGAGAGTAGGCAATCAAGTACATACCGCAGTACCGTGAGCGACTGCCTCCAGACGCCCAGATATTCGATCAATGGTGGCAACTTCTTCATTCGAACTCATGAAATCAATGGACGCTCCCACACGCGGGCCACCTTGTGCGCTCAGCTGTACAAGTCAATTGTCAGAGTTATTCAACCTAGTGCACGTTGGCACTCCGAAGGAAAATGTCAACTATCTAATCAATAATCCACGATCAAGACTTAGTTTCAGTCACAATGCAACAATGTTTATCCTGCACAAGATCAAAAGTATAAACTAGGAATATAGTTGGTTCCGTACCACGTACTGAGAACCTGGGGCGATAACCAAAGAGGAAGGATGTATAGAAAGTGGTGCGAATACGGAGATTCTTCCATAGTCGCTTAGAACCTCATGCCCGGAAAACTTTTGTACAGATACCTGAAGGCATTTAACGTTTACAAATGAAATGAGATACTTCTCAAAAATATGGTCAGCTCTACTCTCCACACGGGTGTCTCTCTCCTAACCACCCATAGAGTAAATAAAGTGGTACATCATCAACCACAGGGGTTTACCGTGCAATGAACCATCTAGTACCAACTTGCGAGGAACCGCAGTAGCTCCAACCACTCATATAACGAAGCACACGACAAAGAGGGAACAAGGGAGGAGATAAACAATGCTAGGTATCTGCTCCTTATCGTTATCTGACAATAATATTCGAAGGACTTAGAAATTTCGAGTTAGACGTCAACGTCCATCTCCCTACTGACCATAATCTCAATGAAGGACGATTGACCTAATACCTGACTGACGACTGACTATGTACTACACGTACAGAGAATCCCCAACACTACGTGGCCTTAAGAATGATCGATACATTCCAAACGTAAGGAGCAGTTCCGCTGTAATACTCAATTCCAGCTGCAAGTGTCGCTTGCTGATTCCGTGCGATCACCAAATCAGAAGAACTTACGTGAAGGGTTGTCGTAAGACCTACGCTCGCCCCACGGATGACAAAAGTACTGGCACTTAGTTCTCCTGGCGATGATCTTGGAGGCTTGACAACCTCCACAACCTCATCTAGTGTGTGCACTTGGACATTCATGTAAGCCAGCTGCAAGAGATTGACACAAACTCATTAGAGCACAATCTGCTAAACCTGCTAAAATAGCGATAGATCTACCGCTCACGGTATGCTACAAGAGTGTAACGTGCGCACCAGTATCCGAGTACTCGGCTCAAGACTTCACGACTATGTCGTTCAGCAGTCTCACTTTTCCCTTGTGATTATATTTACAGTACATTTTACAAGCAGTTTGAAGAAGACTCATCAACTGAGATTACCAAAGCCTTCAACAGGTCTGACATAATTACCTGAGAAGCATCGAAAGTGTGACCAGCACCATCTCCTACTTCCAGATGTATAGTCATATTTGAGCCAAGCTGCGCAGAAAACGATATTAATCGGCAAATCAAATTTAAGCAAAATATTTTATCAGACTAGCAAAACGGGTCACTTTGTCCAGAACATCGTTCAACGCGTAGAACTAAGAAACTTGCATATAAAAAAATCTGCATTTAGACTTTCTCTGAACCAATACCGAAAGATGGGTTACAGGTAAAAACTACACACCAAGAGGCTGGCATCTTCAGGAATTAGCATCTTGACCCAAGCAACATCAGCAACAAGCACCTGCACATTAACCATCGAACCACATAAATGTATGCACAGGCAGACATAACAAAGTTCACTTCACATCCTTACTTGAGGTTCGATAAGTCAATTCCTGTTGGATCTGAAGGATGACTCGGACATATACATATCTGCACTACCCTAGCACTTTCTTCCAACGCACGAACAGATCCCTCTCCATGAGATGAAATTGAAACTTTCTTGTTAAGCGACAGCCAGATAAGTTTCGAATCAAAATGGGCAACTCGTTACAGACCGTTCCTGAGGTTTCAGATGGTGTGGCGAGGCCAACGTCTCGTACTGAGACAAGAGTTGAGCCCAAACCCTTCGCGCCTAGCACGAGCTGTAGACGACCCGAGGTGGGTGGCTGATGACTCAACACAGCAACTTTGGGATCGTGTACCTGACTCTCGACATCAGACGTTCCACCCAATAACAAAAAGCTTCCCTGCCGAGGTACGTTCAAATATGACTGACGTCAGTAGTTGAGCACTCGAATCTTACTTAAGGTTTGCATAAGGAGAAACTTTGGCGAATAAGGCATTCAAAAATCAGCAACGCCGTAAGGATTTTCGTGCCAACTATACAGTCAAGGTCCTTAAAAGTAACCAAGTTTCAGGCACCATCAAGCTTTTTAATTTCATTTTCTCGATCTCTAAGTAGCGATGGAGAAGCGGTATCTGCTAAATAGAGCGTACATACCTTGGCGTTTGGGTGCAAAAACAGAAGTAGGCTCTTAGGTTCAAGCCGTAGAGCTGTCACAAGCTGCAGAAGCCAAGAAAATTATCATCATCAGCAGGGCTCGTGACAGGACTAAAAAATTTCTTAACAATTGACACACCATAACGAACCCAGACTTCCAAGATCGAATTGATAATACTCTTGCAATTGACTCTTTAAGAGAAAGGACATGTCGAACCTGTAAGGGCACAGCATCCTTCAGAAGCGGCTTCCTTGCTGCCAACAAATTCTCGGCATCACTTAAGATAGACCTCTCAAGATGACTGTTAGATAAGAAGCCAGCAACCGTAGCCTTCAGAATGCACTGTCCAGAATAGCAACCATCTCAATGATTAGAAAGATATTTTGAATTCTTCAGAAACCACAATTTGGCTCTGAGACCATCCTTATATTTCATAGGAGATCAATCACTCATGGCTAAGACCTGACACTGCTAAAATAAAAGTAAAACTTACCAATCTCGAGACCAGTTTCATACAAGACACGGGTTTTGAAATGTACGGCCACTTACCTCTCCTGAGACACTACCAAGTGTCAGAAATCGCTCCCAGGACCCCTCTTCATGCGTTGGTTTGAAATCTGAGACAGGTTCCCATTTTGCTAAACCCTCGCAATCTCTTCCAGGCCATCTCACCATCAAGGAAGATGCATTTGCAAAAGCCTTGCTGGAACTCATCGCAACCGCAGATACGCGAATAGTTCGGCCGTTTATAACTGTAAATGGGATGGTGCGAACACGGTTCGTATCCCGATCAGCTTGCGCTGCAACTTTGATGAGATGGTGGCTGTTCTCTGCAATCATTTACAATTACACGTATAAGAATAGAATGCGGATGAGACAGTGCATAGAAGGAAACTTCACATTACAAACATTCTCCCCGAGCTATATTTACACCACCAGTACCAGAACAAGCTAGCCCCCGAAATTTAGATGGCTAGCAAAGAAATAATTTATACGTCCCACATACCTGGTTCGTCAATTAGAAGCGAAATCGATGTTGGGATTGCACAGATCATAGACAGAGAAGCAGATGCTACAGCTCGTTTCGGATGATCATCACCAACGAGATTGCCGCGAGTGAACACTAGTGTCTGTGAAGACAACCGTCAAGCATGTTTAGGTCACTCTGGTGTGTATAATGGTGATTCAACACGAATTACACGGTCAGCCTCGGAGGCTTAGCATGCAAGAGACAGAAGTAGCTCGACATCTAGATGGAAAGAACACGGAGATGATAAGAAACCCGAGAACTGTCATGCATGAACTGATATTGTAAGTAATAGAGACGAATGAATGCATAAATGGAAGAAGCCAAGGAGCAAAAATCGGAGGAATCTGGAAGGCAGAGATGAAACACGCTGTCGTGTTGACAGCGCTGAGAGAACTAAGTGTGTAGTATGGAGGAGCCAGTCCAACGTAAGAAGTTGCCTCAGTGACCATGAACGATATTATAAAGGAAGCGTCATTATCCCGTCACTAGACTCGGCTAGTGATAGAGAACAGAGTTTGTAGTAAAATAAACGAGAACGATGTAAATGATGACTCTTCATCACAAAATTTCAAGCTGTGGTATTTCTTTAACCTTTGCGGTTGGTTCAGTCCCTTCACATATTGATATGACAAGGACTGGATATGACGTCTCAAAGTCTCAAACAAATCCATAGCAAAAAAAAAAGAACACATTTTCCTCTTACAATCCGCTTTACTTGAGAATCTAATAGCTGGCACTAAATTCCAGAGAAGACGATTCCAGGTTAAGGATGACACGTACATGATTTCCCAAACCAGTGCAGGTGAGTAGATAGACTCTGCCAGAACCTTCATTGAGATGATTGATTGTAATTCCTGGGGGAGTCTCGAGTCCTCGTATTTCATCTAGGCATGACTCCACAAATTCGACACCTTGACGCCAGCGTTCAGGACCCCCATGTACTTTGATCCTCATGCTACTGCCAACCACCAGTAGTAACTCCTTCAACGATCCTTTTGGACCACTTAATGCATCAGTTGCAGTATCATAATCCCCGCCCTTCACAGCATAGCCCCCAAAACGGTTTCCATCCCCAACCTGTTGCAAGGACAAAGGCATAAAGGCCGCAATTGTCCATGAAGTTTCTAAAATCTGCTGATGTGGATCATATTCAGGTGATCTAGCTTCCGTAAGGAACTTTCTGATGTCTAATAACGCTGTAATGGTCGCTCTGCCACTCCTTGTTGCTAGAAGCAGAGTCCAAGCGCACGCACTGGCCTGATCATTATCAGGGCCTCCTACTGTCGTATCCGCTCCAAGTTCAGGTGCTGAGTGAAGAAGAGGTAAAATCTGACTCGTCTTGTTCAGTTGCACAAACGAGCTGTCCCCTCCAAATATATCCCATTGTACAAGTGGGCTGAAAGAATCGCACCGCGAATACAGTTTACCTACAGCCACAGACCATCCAAATCTCATGACATAATACACGATAGCCTAACCTCAGAACTCTCTTGCAATTTCGGAAATTTATGGGCTCATATGACAGGTTAAGCTGGTGCCAATAACAAATGCTCGTAGAAATCAACTCTATCTTATCGTTTCACTAACCTTCAGACGTTCGTAAATGCACAGCAACTGGCAGGGAAGATGGTACTTCAACTTCCACGGGTAATCCAGGCACGACATTTATAAATGAGGGCAACGAAACGTCCACGACCGCCTGGTCAGTTTAATCACGCGCAGGTGTCAGTCAACTATGTATTTCAAAGCTCAGTATATACCAACCGTGTTATACAAGATCTCACTTGGAGAAGATTAACTTGATTCAAATGAATTAAGTAAATAAATAATAGACAAGTTAATAAAAATATACTTCAACACTTCCTAATTAAGATCAACCATAGAGGGCTATCACATGGGCGTCAAAGAGTACTTTAACTACTCTTCGAAAAATTGTAAGACTTCCAAAATTCCTGTGAATCCTGAATTAATGCCAAAAGGTTGAAGGCAAAGACTAACCTCATCGAAATTGAGAGAATCCCTAACGGCGCTCACACGAATAACAGCTTTACCCAGCCCCTGAGATCGCACGACTCCTTGGGCGTCAACAGTAGCTATTGTCGGAGTTGAAGAGGACCACCAAAAATCGGCGGCCTTTTCTCCACAACCTGATTCGTGATTGAAACATCCCACCATCTTCAAAATACTATTTTGACTTCATTTGAGCCAAAAACATTCACTACCCTCTCCTTCCATCAAAGCGAGGATAGCAGCTTCTTATTGACATAGTTCAGTGACATAGACCACAGCAGACCAACTTAATGCTCTCTGACAGTCGTGGAGTAGTTGAGAGTAAAGAGTGTTATGAAAAGTAAGGCTGTTGACACTCATATAATAAACAAAAAGGAAAAACAGAGTTTACCTCCTTCAACAGATAACCGGTACTGCTGAGAGTGCCCAGGAATCCAAGGAAGAGACACAGTTCCGATCTCTTCCAAGAAGGGCGCTACAATGCGAACCGGACTGCACACCCTCACCTTCTGTTCCTCTCTTAGGACCTAATCCAGACATATCACGAGCATCACCAACCTTAGCACAAGATATGGGAACTATAAAAACTGATTAAAATTCTGCTTGGGGACTCTTTTATCCAAGAACAAAGGTAACCGGAAGAGCCACTGTGCGAAAAGGAAAACTTAGGCAGGGTCTTCTTCCAACATCGTTAAGCAAGTTGCAGCTATGAGGTAATTTCACGTGATACGAGTTGACTGGTTGAGACACAGCTGCTAAGATAAGACAGCACCTCTTTGTTGGCTGGGAACCACTGCCCAGTGACTTCGTCCTGGACCATGCTTCCATGGGCCAAGATGGCAATCAAGTTACCCGTTCCTTCCTTAATAGAATGAATAAGAGAGCAATTTTGCCAACCCTGCTCAGCTGCCACATCTTCGGGTATGTCATCAACAACCCAAACTCCTTCATTATCATACATCCGACGCAAGTCATTATCCTGCAACATTTACTGATAGTTGTAAGTATATTTCTTATAGCTCCAGTATGGTCCTCGGGCTATAAGTGGTAAACAACGATGAGTACAGTATACCCAATAACACTTCAACACTTCGCACTTCACCTGAATTCACCACTTGAAGGAACAGCTAGAACAAGCAATGGACGAGACTAAGTCAGCTAAACTCGAAATTTGAGGTTTTGTTAGAAATTAGTTGGAGCAAAAGTTTGAATCATGTAATTTAGGTGAACCCCCAAAATGAAAATGCGTTTGAGATGCACCTTCGTCAGCTGCAAAGGACGTGTACCAGACTCTCGGGAAAAAGTGAACACTTGCACGACATACTTCCTTCCAACAACAAGTTGCCAGGGAACATCTGATGACATGATTGGAGGCTCCTTGATGAGAGGCCTGGCACCAACTCCACTGGCGGACAAAGGCGTCAAATATAGGCGCAAGCTCACTGGAGTTACAACATGCAAGGTTGAAGTTTGTTGGTGACCAGCGACTCTTGTATCTTCCACGACGACAGTGGTCACACCATGAGTACGTCCAACCACTGTACCCATAAAGGGGTCAATCTCTGCCACAGTTGAGTTTATGATAAACCAATGATGATAAGGAGATGGCAGCTCCACCACTGTAGGATGACAACAAAGATTTGCATATCAGAAATAGCAGAGTGTTATTCATGCGTTTGTGCAGTCAAACTAGATGCCAATAGACCGAACCTAGTTTGCCCTAGACCGAGACAACCCTCATGGACGTCAGCTGTAGACGGACCTAGAATATTGACGAAATGAACGGACCACGTTGAAAATCGCAGTATAGCAGCAATCATGTCTTTCGTTCTTAAACTTCTTGATTGGAAGTGAAAACCTTGACACTTCTTTTAAGAGAGGAATATTAACCTGTAGCCTGATTCCTTCTCACGGTCTTCAAAGTATACTGAAGGTGTGTCCCAGGGATGATGTACAAAGGAGAAGGGGGTTCCAGAGACACAGCTTCAGCGACCGTCAAGACTACAACGTCCACTAAATCTTCAAAATTGGGTTCCAACAATTGTGCTGTTATTCTTTCTTGACCTGCACTGATTCCTCGCACAACGTAGAGATCAGAATCAAGACCCTGCAAAAGATTATCGTCCAGCCCGAGTAGGACAATTCATATCAGTATCCAAGGTTGAAGAGGCTTGATGGATAACCATCCCAAACTGGTTGACGGCTCTTTCGAAGTTTTATATATTTTCAACAGATTTAATGACCAAAACCATTTAAGACTGGAACTCGACTTCAGAACACACGATCATAGAAGCCAAGAAAAGAAACTGTAAATAGGAAACAAATCTACATAATCACTCGGAAGACAATAGACCTCGTTGCTCCTTTTGCTACGGGTAAGAACTCTTTCTTTCTAAGGCAATCCATAGATCCATCACGATGAATGAATTTAGTTTCTGAGTCGGTGATTGAACTGCCAAAGGGCGACTTTGAACTCTTACCGTTTGCTCCAGTTGAATCTGAGTTTCAATTTCTTCATCTTCAAGGGCAGTGTCTTTTAAAGGCACATGCGTCAATTTGTGCGATAAAGATTCACCAACCGGATTCAAGGGTGACAACTGCCACATGAATTGCAGCCCGACCAAAGAAGAAAATACATTTTCTGCATCGCCGCGGTCGCTTACACGATATTAGTGGCAAAATAACTAGATCCAGACGAGTGCCGAAATAGAAACATAGCGTCGCTGAAATACGCGACCAGAACGAAAGTCAAACCCAACATCACCACAGGAATGCACAATGCTAAACGAATGTAGCGCCTTGCACCTATGACTGACAAATAATCTCACGCAAAACTATGTGCTGATTCAGCTAAAATTATTTGGACATACATGGATGTCTGAAGCACTCCATAAAACAATGAGGCTCAAAGAGTGAAAAGGAGACGAATTCATCTTAGCTCAGTTTTTTTTCTATGCCACAAATATTCTACCCTGCAGCAGGTTAAACGATATTGCGCAGCATGATGGGACGTCATCGATTCCACGACTGACTGTTAACAGGAGACCAAGATTCAAAAGAAGAACCAAAAGAAGGCACTGGTCCACATAAACAAGGCCACAATTTAGTAAGAGAGGAACTCATCCCTGAAAGCAGATGCTTTTTGAAAATATTTAAGCTTCCAATTCTACATCTTAGTCCTCTTCGATCACAACCCGTGATTCCAAGAGTGGGGACAATTTTCGCGTAAACAGACTTTATTATGACAAAAAACATTGTCAAATTCGTTTCGGGAAAAATATGAAAATAAAAATCTGCTCTGGATGAAGGTGTCTTCTTAAAAGGATGGGCGAAGAAGTTGCTTAAGCTCAAAAAGTAGTTTCTTTCTTCCTTCCATTCCATTCTTTCTATCTTTAGTTCCAAAGATCAGGTAGTGACAAGAGCTTGAAGAGACAGCTCACGTTTCCAGACATGCAAAAGAGCAATACATCAGAGCCTGGAAATTCTTGTGAGTTTTGCGATTTGAAATCAGAAACTGACAGATAAGGCCACCTGCAGGGGACTCATACAGGTACGGATCACTCCGCACAGCAGCTTTTGAGAGACAGCGATAATTAGGACCTTCATATCTGTGATCTAATTACGCGCAGGACGCTTTAAAAGACTAATGTTAAGCCAAAAGCAAGAGTTAAAATTTCATACAATGAGACAGAGCACAAACCTTCAGAATCAAAAGCTCGAATACGTAAAGCTGCAAGTCCATCGAGATCAAGCTTCAGGGAATGATGAAAGATACGAATGCGAGAAAGCTTGTCCACGAAGACCTCACAGCGAAGCACCTGCCCGGTTATGATATCGGTGGCATGGACAGCAGTAGCTCTTCGTCCCGCATACGAGGCGATTGAAGTGATCAATGCACTTGTAGAGCAATGTTTAACTGTGCCATTGAATTCAGGTTCGACGCTCAAAAGGTCGTGATGGTCCCAGGACCTGCTCACGATCGTCGGGTTAGAAAGTTACTAAAACCATTCAACCCAAGTCGATCAAAAAAAGCGCACATTCATTTGTCAGGCTCACACTGATCACGACCGAAAAATTCGAGAAGATCTCTGAACGCACCATGTGAAGCAGCCATTTGAACCATGTAGCCGATAGCGCACAGGGCGTGTGGTTCGAGGGGGGAGCAGCAGGTTCAGACTACTGATGTGTGGACCTTGGTGCTGTCCTGCACTGAGTGCTGCCTGTGCTGGGCTTTGAAGTCCCGAAATTAAAACATTCAGTAACAGGACAAACACACCAAACAGCATCATGGTTCTCCCCCTCGATCATGCGCGGAGTAATGTCCTTCTCAGCTCAAACCTGAGCTAAAACCTTACCCCTTAAACCCTTCTCAGACATGTTTCTCAACTCTGTAAGCAACGAACTTCTCCAGAAAAGCGCGTGCAGGAAGTGCCACACTTCCTCCAAAACAGAACCGATGCAGCATTTGTGGGAGATTCAAAAAAACTCTGCCCGCGCCACTTCAATGTTCAATGCAAAAACACAATTGCGCTCCTCATCGGGGCCGCAAAATCCATCTGCTATGCGTACGTTGTATGGGTCCAGCTCGTAATTGCAAAAATCCGACAAGTTATGGGTTCAAGAAATGTGGACGCTCCGACACCACCTCCATCCGCGAAGTTCCTCCACTCGGTAGAGACGATCCTGCCTCCTCGGAAAGACGCAAGAATGCTCTCGTCGAAGCGCGAGGGAGGATGGCACGGCGGGAGAAGCAGCTTCGCTTCTTTGCTTCGCTCCGAGAGGGCTCGTGGCGCCTTCATGCCATCCTCAACACGCTGATTACAGCCATTACAGCGATGCCGACAATACTCATAAACTCTAGGAGCGCTTATTTGTCGCTACTTCGGAGTCGCCACCCAATGACGTTCGGTCCCAGTCATCCATGGTCTCGCAATCCTAGGGCGACAAGACTTTCATCAGTGCCTCCATTGCACATATATCTGGAATAAGTTAGAGAATGGGGTGGACTTTTATATATCTTTGAAATAGGTTAGAGAGTGGTGTGGAGTTATGTACATTATCATTCCTCGAGTGAGGTCTATATTGCATCCGGAGTCTTCTCTCCTTCGTTTAACATGGAGTCCCACCGTTCTACACTCCACTTCTTGTATTCCACGATGATATACTGGTAGAGTGCTACTATCTGCCCGGCTCATTGTATGTCATTGCTGGTTTCGTTGATAAACACTTTCTGGTACGATTTGATTGTATTTATAATGACTTTGATTACTTGACTAAGATCTTCATATTCTATACTTGAACCTTAAGAACTATTATTGTGAAGTCGTTCATCCTTGTCTCCAGATATATGTAAAGCATCGATATAGTTCATCCATTCGAAGACTTCCATCTACATGATGCATTTTACAAAGATATGTCGTACATGCGGATTCATATTTCATATGCGTCGGAAAAACTCTACTCTAATATTGCTCATCAATTCTTCTTACTTCCTTGCACTACTCTCAGCTCATGTACATGTAAATCACACACGAATTATCTTTATGGGCAAATTAAGATATTTCAATGAAATCATCATTCATAGAGAAACGTATCACTCTATGATACTAACAACCTTTACTTATTTCACTAGAGCAAAACAACTTGATAAACAAGTGCACACGCAGTGACACTTTAGTTTCAATTTTCTACTTTATTTCTCTAATCATACTGTCATGAAGCAACACTTCAAGTTATGTCATCGCGTATAGATTACAATAATCACACACAAGTTTTTATGTGCTTTTTTATTAATATTATTTGGATGATTGTTCTAAAGTCTAGGTGTTTCTATCTTCTATTTTGTTAACAGATATATGCACTACGCACTGTTTTCACAAATCCTTTGATCATGATCATTGTTTTCTCATCATGTATGTCATTGTACATAAGCTTGTTAAAAAGCAAAAATGTCTCAACTTCCATATATTATCGACTTTTAAAATCAACATAATCAACAGTTTCCTACATCAATCAACAGTTTCCTACTCTTTCATTCTTTGGCATAGTTTATATTAGTATTTCAAAGAAAATATTATATAGTTGCAGTTGAAATTTTTTCACTGTATTTGATCGCAAAACAACACATAATCACTCTAACCTAATATATTCACCACAATCATCTTTTTCAATTTCTTTAGTTTTGCAGATAATACGAGTGCATCCTTTTATTAAATGTTGTATTTCGATATCATTTCTATTTTAACTAAGCAACTTTGTAATATCTTGCAATTCAAAAATCAATTGATAAAAAAAATCCAATGATTCCTATATTTTAAAATTGTAAGATCTCTTTCGTTTTCTGTTCTTTTGAAACTTCCCAACAAAATTCGAATGTTTATTTAACTAAGGTTTTTATTTGAAATTTTTGAGTTAAATTGACGATTTAAACTTTTTCATATTTTGTGGTTTCGATTTTGCAAAAAAGGTTGTTGTGTATAATTTTTTAGCGTGTTTTAAACTTATTTCGTTGTTGTATGTATGATAAATATACAAAAAATAATTGAAAATATTAAATAATAATAAATTTTTAATCTTAGTATCATCTTCTTTTATTCTCACATTATATATAGAGAATTTTTTCATGATGTTAACTTGATTTGACTACACTGATTTCCTAGCTTAAATCTTTTGTAACATCGCTGATTTCAATTAATGGTGGAACTATATTAAAATTTGTGTATCATAAAAAAAAATTTGGCCGGAAATACGTATGTTTAGAAGAGATGTGTTCTTTTGTCCAATTTAATCCTAAGTACCTTGATTGCTTCGTCTGAATCTGTATCAATCATTTAAAATTTTTTTCCAACAAAGAAAATCACTTACCTGAGATTCATGTGAAAAAAGGTTAGTTTTTATTTCATTGATTCATCAAGTATAGATATTTGGAATTAATTAATTAATTATGTATTCAAAATATAATTGTAGTGTATAATTTAAACTGATGTATAATAAATTTTACAACTTTGTGAAGATGTTCAATTTATGTTTTTTACAATCATCTACATCTCATTATTGATGAGTTTTAGTATTTCATTGTAAAATATGTTTAAATGAAATATCATCTATTTTTTTTCTAAAAATTACATAAATATTTATGTAAAAATATTTAAATAGATTTTCCTTTTAAATCATATTCCTAATCACACCTAAACTCCTGTTTTCAATACAAATTAAATAAAAATTTAGTTATTCATCTTTTATTATGCTATAGAATTTATTTTCATCACATTGGATTGATGATAATCCATAGTATTAGTATTTCATTAAATACTAATTTACTCATTTGATTTACAATGATGAGTACCATAAGGATAGATTCATAAAAATATTATTACATTTTATATCTCACAAATTTCAATTCAATCATAATCTCTATAAATTTTTCAAAAAAATCTATATTATTATGAATATAGAGTTTGTTATTTTATTATCATACTTAAAAATAATTTTAATACCTTTGCTAACCTTTTAAATAACATAATAAAGTGATATGATTTTTATCTTGAAAACAAATTGAATTGTATATTTATAATGTTTTTTAATGAAGAAAAGAAGTTATTATGCTTTAAGATATTTTTTCAAATGTATTGTCAAACCTTTTTGAAAGTATTTGATGTAATTCTTGCTCATGCAAGGATGTATGTTTGTTGATATTGTTTACACCTAATGATTTTTAAACTTAAACAAGTTACTTTACATATCAATAAAATCACATATTAAATCTATCAATTTCTTTATATCTTTATGATTCAAATGTGAATTTGGAATATATATTAGATGCAAAATATGTTCACATGTTAACTTTAACGTGTTAGAGAGATTATGTTTACTTACATGATATTATATTTTGTATTTTACTTAAATGCACGGACTACATAGTCTTAAATTAATTTTAACTTGGATTAACTCCATTTAGCGATAATAATGATTAGGGAAGCTAAGTGTGGTTAGGTTAACTAAGATATGCACTTTATCTCTTCTTGTATAGAAGAGAGAAAAAGACATTCACTGCGTACAATTTAGTGTCGCACTTTGAGAGTGAGCACGGAGTTGGAGAACTTGGCTATGGAGTCCGTGTATACAATTGTGCTTTGATGAAGTTTATACTCTTGATCCTGAACAAAGCATGTGGAAGATGAATTACATTATTTTGCTGTTTTGACTCTAGTGCATAATAGATGGATCTTGATTGTTGGGCATTACAATTGGTATCAAAGCTAGTTCAATGCACGCACATTTCTAATTTCCACCATTTTTTTGGAAACCAGGGAGCGTGGAAGCGTAGTCATAATTTCTACTTGCAATTTGAAATAATTGTTTTCTAATTTTCCATAGAAGAGTAGACAAAGACATTAATTACATTTTGATGAAAGAACGGAATTGTTTCATTAAATGATCATAGAAATTTTGAAATCTGAAGCGGAAGATATCTATTACATTATACAATAAAAGAAATCGCTGGATTTCTCAAAATCTAAATTTTTCATCACTGTATTTTTTGATTTTGGATACAAAAGCTTGATCTAATCTATGAAAGAATCGTTTTGATATTAATTTTGTCAAATTTAGTTGAAAAGTAGCGAAGTTATGACCGTTTGAAATTTGGAATTAAATGCAGCCATGGTGGAAGCATGATGAATAGGGACACAGAATCAAAAATTAGGGTTTGATGTAATTTTGAACAAATGATATGGACGGCGTTTTGAATTACTTGGAATGAGAAGTATAAAGAAGGTGTCAAGTACGCTTCACAGGAAAAACACATCATGTGAAGAATTTTGGCAAAAAGTAATCAAACATAGAGTTTGTTTTTTTGGATATTTGGATAGATTAGGCCAAGCAAGCTACGCCCGTTTTGAGTTCAAAATTTTTAAGATGATTTTTAAGAAAGTTGAGCACGCGATACAAAAGATGGTTTTGGAAGCATATGTCGTGTAGATTTTTGGTACTAAATATGACTTTGATAGTCCAAATTCAAGTTTTTACCCTCCTTAACTCTAGGATAAATAACGTTTTACTCATGAGTGATTTTGACAAACAGTTTTCACATTCAAGTGAGTTATCTTGTGAGCTATAGATATGTGATTTCAGACTTTAATTATGAGAATTTTTATTTTTTGACGGTTCTTAAGACTAAGTGTTCAAAATTGTAAACACTGTGAATGCTTTCTAGGCATGAATAGCTTGAAACGACGGCATTAACTTGTTCCAACTGTTGTGGAAGATGTTGAACTCTTGCATTTGGACAACGGAGTGAGGTTTCTAACTTTCTTTCCAAATATACTCTTGAAGTCATTTTGGAACTATAAGACTAGATGTTGTACATGTGAAATAAAACTAGAAGTAGCCAAGAAGTTTATCATGGTTATGATAGTTATAGCTAAGTCAAGCTAGTTATGACTAAACTAGTTAGTCATAACTAAGTTTATATAGTCATGACTAAACTTAGCTATAATGTCTTTAGTTGGCGGAATAATTAGCGGAGTTCTATAATAGTGGAGTGAGCATCTCTAATTTGTCTTTTACAAAGGTTTATATTCAAGGTATTAGTCTTTTGACTACAAATTTGGATTTGATTTGTTTGATTAATGTATGAAAGATGATTGGCTAACCTAAGTCTAAGGTTGACTTAATGGCTAAGAAGCTTCTAGAAGTTTTAAAGCTTCCAATGGCATGTCCCCACCTCAACCTCGGATTTTGGAAACTTCTAGAAGATATAGTTAGGCCAATGACATGTTGCCACGTATAGTGGATTAGTCAAACTTACCT